GCCAGAAACTCACCTTTACTACTCTTCGCTTTATCATACATTCAATCCCACTGACTTTTCTTGCCAGGCTTATATATATACTAACAAAGAGGCGTCTTGATCACACTCGAGCTTCCCTGATAATTCGAGAAACTCAGTCGCGCATGCTCTAGCATTATCACATGACTTCCACTGTCGTAACAATATATTGTGTGTTGCTAAAATCAGAGCAGAAAGAGAAATTCCCTCTGCATCTAATAATTTTCGAAAATTTAAAAATCAACCATTTGACCACTTGTTTTATTTAGCAGCAACTTCAAAAATAAAATAAATTACTATATATATATTTTTGTATAAACAGAGGTTTAAAGATCAGTAATAAATAAAGTTAAGAAAAAATGATGGATGTTTTATATAATTTGATAAGAAATTCATTACTTTCTGTGCATTTAAAAAATTGAGGGTTAAATTGATTTTAATGCAGTTTTTGAAATTTACTAATATTATGATTATGATTATGAACAGATGTTCATGTATTATACATTTTCATCTATTATAGTTTGCTGATAAGTCTTCTCACTAAATTTGGAATGTTTAGATGAAATTAAAAATATTCAGACAATGTAACTATTATTTGTCCTATGTTAACACACCATAACTTTACACAGAGAGCAGGAATTTGTTGTAAGTCTAAAGACTTGCACACATGTACATACCTGCTAAGTGTGTTTTCACTGTGTGAAGTTCCTCACCCAGATGGTCACATGTGGCTTCAGCACGAGTCAATTTCACATTCAACTCTACATAAACACAGACACAACAACAACAAGCACAAAAACACAAAGACTAAGGCTTAATAAAAAATAAGATAATGGAGAAAACAATAAACACAACTACATGCAAGACATAAATAAAATAATAATCCAAAATAATTGAGTGCATTTTGGAACAACAAAGTGAGATTTTGTTGCTAACACATTTATATTTTGGACCAGTAAAGTAAAATGTTTCTCTATTAACATATTTTTGAGATCCATTTCAATTTTGGAACAGTAAAATGAGATGCTTATTGTTGATGTATTTTAAATGACATTTCTGTTCTGGATCAGTAAGTAAGATGTTTTCTTACTGATGTAATTTTGAGAGAAATTTAAATTTTAAAACATCAAAGGGAGATTTTATTGCTGATGTATTTTTAAGAGACAATTTTATTTTGTAATGGCAAAACCATCTTTTTTCTGTGATGCTCCAAGGCATTTTCAAGAATGTAAGAAAAGCTAGCCATATTATTACTTGATTAAGCTACCAATAAATGATTTATAGTTACACTTAAAAAGTACATTATTTCTTTAAAGGTTTTTATTTTAAATATATAACATTTCTTTAGTAATTATTCAAATAGTTTTAAGTTTATGGTGTTCTCTGTTAATAATCATTTATTATAACAGCTACTCCTAACTATTTTAATTTCATTTTGTTTATGTCAAAATATTAAAATACTTAGTAAAGAAACATTTGTAGTCAACCCTCAAGTAGAGCACTTAGATCTACAGAGAGCAACACATGGCCTTTGGAACAAACACTTGTAATTATAACAGGCCAGTTTTTGACCCTTATTTACAGTTTTAACAGAATTTTGCAAGATTGCAGAATTTAGCACTTTAAGTTCTAGCATATTACAAGTGTATGTAATCTTAAAATAAAGTTCTTGTAAATTTACAAACATTATCCAGGGTTTGGCCACTTTATTAAAAATTATTTCCTTGCAGACTTGGACCTGAGCTTAAATGCAAGTGCAAGTTAGACTGATCATATGATGTGTCACATGATCCATACAGCACTATATATACGATTGGGAAAAACACATTTGCAGTCAGTCTAACAGATATAGGGAAAGGCAAAGATATTGCAGCATTCAAAAGAGGCATGATAGTAGGTGCACATCTAGCAGGTGCCACATTGGTCAAGACAGTTTTATGAGTAGGTTGCTCCATGACATTGTCATCTGAGTTGATCAGCAATGATAAAATGTGAAGAAAATGTCTGCTGTGAGGGGGAATTCTGGCTACAAACACAGTGACAGAAAGGGGAGAAAGACAGAAAGGAAGACAGGATGGTAAAGTCCAACAGTCATCAAACAATAGACAAAACTGACATACATTAAGTGCATGGGAATCCCTACCCTTGTATGGATGAACCTTGTGAAGAACATTAAAAGAAATGGACTATGGCAGTAGGAAACCACTGGACTCAATTAATAACAAGAAAAATGTCATAAGTGGTATAAAGAAATATTGGACTAATACGGACAGGTGAACGGTGATGCAGACAAATAAATCACACTTTACCCTTTTTTTGTACAAGTAGGAGAAGATAAATTTGGATAGAGCCACAAGAATAACTCACTCCTACTGTGTATTCCTAACTGTCAAGGCCCAGAGTGGTGGAATAATGGTTTGGGGCATGTTTTTCTGGCATACCGTAGGTTCCTTTAGAAAGCAGAATGAATGTCTCAGCATACCTCAGCATTATTTCTGATCAAATGCATCCAGCAATGCTTCATGTGCACCCTGCTGGGGATAGCTACTTCCAAGACAATGGTGCTTCCATCAACCATACCCAATTTGTGTGTGCATGGGTTGAGGTACATGATGGAGATTTCAGGCATCTACCACAATCCCCAGATCTCAATCCAATTGAGCATTTATGGGATAAATGTGAAAGACACATTCAGCATCACTATCTTTTGCCTAACTTGTTTTATAAATTGCAAAAAATATTAATGATCGAATGGGAATAATGCTCGACACCTTGCAGCACCTTGTGGATTCTATGTCACATCGCACCATAATTAATATTTGGGCAAAGTGACCCAACCTATTATTAATTCTTAATAAAGTGTCCAGACTCTGTATATATAATTTCAGACTGAAGCTATTGCAATTTTAGTAGCATGTTCAAAGTGAAACCTCCTTTAAGCAGTTTCATAACATATAGTAGAAAAATATTGCAGAAGGCTACATACAAAACCTGATCCCAAATATGCAAATCCAAGATAAAATCATTTATGAATATGATTACTTTTTCATAACACTAATTTATCATTTAATAGCTTTATTCAGCTAAAAACTGGTATAATTAAACTTATATATATAAATAATTATATAGTTTTCATTATTCCAGTTTTTGCCAAATAAATTTTTGAAATTGAAACTCTGGAACTTTCCTATCTACATATTACCTATTTTTTCTATTATATCAAGTTTAAAATGGGAAAACAAATGTAACAAGTACTATAATTTTTTCCAGCTATTTTATCAAGTATAATTTAGTAGGTGTAGAAAGAAAATACTGTTTATTAAATCATAATAATCATGAGGTAAAATGTCACAAAAAATCAAAACTTGTTCTTACAATGTATAAACAATGTGTAAATATATGAAGAATGTTTCACTGTAAGTTTAAAAAATGCAAAGTAAAACTTACCATCAATTATTTGTAGCTGCTTATTCTGTCTTTGCTTGCCATGTTCTAAGTCTTCACCCTATCAAATTATTCAATTTTACTTATCTTTGATCCATTGTTAAAAGTTGATATTTTTATCCACAGTTAAAACATGATATTTTTGATGAATATTTAAAAACTGGTAATGGACTACTGTTAATAACATTTCGTGCTGATCTAAGTGAAAGTTGTTATTGTAAGTTATATTTAGCTATGAACAACTGTATGTGTTGCAATAATAATTATGTAACCTGAGATATATATATATATTTAAACATCATTAATAATAAATTACAAAATACAACAATAACTAAGAAATATTTAAATAAAAAATAAAATTCAATTGATACTTCATTCGATTCCAAAAAGTTTCATCATGCTATTTAAGGTTATTTGGTTTAAGCTAACTTTTACAATTTCTTAACAGTAAGTGACATATAATACTTTTGATTAATAGTTAAACATATTCCATGTTATCTTTTACTGCTCTATTACAAAAAAATAGCTGAGAATTAAGAACATACATGTTTTTTTACTACATCCAAAAATCACTATTTCAGTTGGTTAAAGTTATAATAATTTTTGTAGCTACTTATGCAGTACCCAGTTTTTTACTGACTTAAATTTGAAACATGTCCCAACTGATCTTAATTATAATAAAATGTAACATTCAACAAAGAATGTCACTGGTGAAAACTCAATTTCTCACCATTTCTTCCAACCTTTTCTTTAAGTTGGTTACTTCTCTCTTGCGGCTTTCAAGAGATGCTTCTAGCTGTAGAATGGTTTCATCCTTCCTGACTATATCGTCCCGCAATTCACTTGTAACATTAGCTTCAGATTCCTTGTAAGATAAAAAGTATAACAAAAACTGACTAAGCTTTTTTAAGCAGCAAACATTTAAGTTACATGATAAGGAAAAATAAATAGCTATTAAAATAATCTTATATGCACTTTGCAAATTAATTCACAATTATGTTTTGTTTTATCAACTAACTTATTCAATTTTCACAATTACAGTGTTTTTTACAACGTTTTAAGAAGAAGCAGAAATGCAGATACAAAGTACAGAAAATAAAAAATCATAGTTGATAAAGGAAAAACAAAATTTCCTGCTAATCAGATTCCTTCCTTCACAAAGTTGATTATTTTCTATTAATTGCTTTGGCACATGTTCATACCAACTGCTTTTTCTGCATTCTGACTACTCTGCTTCATATCTTTCTTAAACATTATGTGTGAAAATACAATGTACTAAAGGTCTAACACCAGGTAGCTTTTAATCTAGGTTACAATTATACAAATTATAAACTATATCCTATTCTATCATTGTGTACATGTTATGCAATATTTGAATGAGTCAGAGTAATATTAGATATACTAACCCCAGATTTATCTAGGCCAAGTAAAAATTAATGTTGTGCATAAATCAGTAGTAGTTCAATTAGGTGAATGAGTCAGTTTAAATTCATGCATGGATTAATAAAAAATGATAATTTTTAACTGTCGATGATTTACTGATTACATAAATGTTTAAGCCACGAAGATTAATAGAGAAAAATTATCAATTAATTTCTATAAAACTGGACTTACTGTATGAAGAGATTAGTTAGTAGCAATTTTTACTTTATTTTTGGAAATTATATATAAATAAAACTGTTTGGTAATGCTTTCAAAATTTTTCAAATATCTTTAAAACATTATTATCCAAAAAACATACCGAAATGATTTAGTGGTTTATCTTTCAGTGTTTCTAAGTTATTTGAAGATAAACTCACCTTTATTTTTTCTAAGAGTTTGATTTTTTCCTCTGATTTGGATAAGACCTGTTTAAGTTTTTCCATCTCTTCCTTGTAACGTTTCAACTCTTCGGTTTCAGTTCTCTCCTACAGACAAAAATGCAATAGTCTCGGCTTAAATCTATGGTTTCATAATCTCCAAACTTTTAGCAATTAATTAATTAGCAAAGTTAATTAAAAATATTTTTA